GACAAGGAGAGACCCATCGTTGCATCTAGATGGCAGCTTGCTAGCTTTTAAGATCCCGGTCGCTACTCACCAAAGTAGGATGTGGAACAATGTTTTGTATAGTATGTTATGCCAATTGAGCTTGATGTCCATGGGGAACTTCTTGCAGTATATTGTGGCTATTTGCGTGTCTGTTTTTCAAAAGATCATGAACTTCCCAAGGCAGCTGTTGTTGGGTGTTGTTGAGTTCATTTTAACTCACAGCAACCCATGTGACAGAATAGAACTGCCCCTTAGGATTTTCTCGACTGTAATCTGTGTTGAACCAGATCACCAGGTCTTTCTCCTGCAGAGCTGCTGGGTGGGTTCAAACCACCAGCTTTTGGGTTAGTGGACAAATGCTTAACTACTGTCCAGCAGGGCGCCTGACATGAACCTAGGTGGTCAGTATTTAAAGCCTGACTTTCTCACCCTCAGACTTGTTGTATCAGTAAGCTTTGAGCCAGGAACCTTCTCTGTGAAGAACCTCTCTTCTACACATCCAGAGTCTTTATTAAACATAGGAGGATGAGTGCTGGAAAGGGCTTCTAAGTAACTGAATAATATAGCTGGCACTAACATGTAACAGCCACTGGAAAAAAAGGTGTGTGTGTGTATTAAATAGAGGGCTGAAGGGGTCCAGCCACACACCTCTCTTCCAGTTTTAAAATAAGAGCTCCATATGGGAGGTATAGAAGTTTTTGTATAAAAGAGAGAGAGAGAGCTTCTACTTCTTGAAATGGTACCCAGCTCCACTTGGGGTGTTTTGTTTTTGTTTTTTGATAGTTTAACTCAGTGATTCTCAACCTTTAGTGTACATTAAGAATCCTGGGATAGATGCTGAGTCAGGCCTCTGTCTACAGAGATCTTGTTTTACTCTGGAGCATTTTTAATAAGCACCCTATGTGATTCCAGAGTAGGGGCTCTGTAGACCACACTTTGAGAACTTGTGGCTTAGATGTTAGAAAGCGAGGATTTTCTATCCCAGTGGTCTGCAGCATGGAGTGCAGTGTCATCACTGAGGAACTGAACAAGCAAACAAGCAAGAAACAAACCCAATTCTCTTTGCGGGCCCTCTCAAGTTCTCATGGAATTGGGCTGGGGTGAGGCCTGGGTATTGGGATTTTAAAAAATTCCTCAAATAATTCTAAGGTGCAGCCGAGCTAGAGAAGCAGTGTTCAATACCCAGCACCCAAAGAACAGAGCCAGGAGTTTAACCTCCATGTGCCACCCGAGGGATCCATGAAAATCTGAGTTAGCCAAGACAGTCTCTTTCTCAGAGCTGACGCCTCCTGTGTCTTTGGGGTCTGACGTTCTCTCTATTCTTCTCCCTCCTTCCTGTGCTGACAGAGAAGTCTGTGGTTTTTATGATCCTATCTTTTATCTTTTCTTTACTTTCTTTCCCTATAAATGGCTTATGTTGCCATTTCAGAGGATCTGGATATTGTCAGACACTTGTCTTATTATTATTTGTTAACACAGAGAATGCAAAGGTGAACTAGGAAGTGTGTGTGTGTGTATGTACACATGCATGTGCATGCGTGTGCATATGTGTGTGCATGTGCACATGTGTTACAGGCATGCTGGGGCGGCAGGCACTAGAACAGATTCGTGAAGAGACGATAGCTATTTCCGTTTTTTGGTTTGTCCTTCTGTATCAGCTGCAATAGATGGTGCTAGGGGCTGAAGAAACCTTAGCCAGGAAGTGGCAGAGATATGGCAGGAATAAACCCTCCTTTGAAAGCCCACCTTGCATTGCAGTCTTTGTCTCCAGGGCCTGAACCTTCCTGCCGCAGCCACACATTTGCTCTCGCCTTCTTCGGGCTCAGCAGATACAGCTCCCCCCAACTGCTGCTAAGGCTGGGCTTCTTCTCAGCATTGATTACTCAGAACACTCTGCTTCCCCTGAAGAACTCAGTTAATTACAAGACGCCCTGTTGCTCTAGATATTTGGAGCATTTTGGATAATGGAAGTAGTGCTTCAAACAATAGCCAAACAAGCATCCAATATGCTGGATCTTGAGGGGTAGCTCCTACAAGCGCTCTTCTTCCTCTTCCCTCCTTCCATTCTCCCCCACTATTCTTTCTGGTTGAGCCCTAAGACATTTGACGGCTAATCAGAAGGGCAGAGGTTCAAACCCATCCCACCAGCCACTCCTCAGAAGGAAGATCAGGCAATCTATTTCCCTAGAGATACCACCTGGGAAACCCAAAGAGGGGTTGCTATGAGTCGGAAACGACTTTATGCCAGTGAGTCTCATTTATTTAAGGAGTCAAAGGAGCTCTGGTGGAGTAGCGGGTAAGACATTTGTCTACTAACCAGAAGGTTGGGGGCTCAAACCCACCAGATGCTGTGGGAGGAACACAGGGCAATTTACTTCTGTAAAGATTTACAGCTTTGGAAACCCAATGGGATTTGCTATGAGTCAGAGTTTACTTGATGGCAGTGGGTTTGATTTTTTTTTTTTTTTTTTTTTGGTTGCTGCAACGGTTAAGCACTCAGCTGTTAGCAGAAAGGTTGGCGATTTGAACCCACCCAGCAGCTCTGGTGGCCCAATGCCTAAGGCATTTGACTGCTAGTCAGAAGGTTGGTGGTTCAAACTCACCAGCCAACTCCACAGAAGGAAGACTGGGCGATCTACTTCCGTAAAGATTTACTGCCTTAGAAACCCAAAAGGGGTCGCTATAAGTAAGAATCTACTTGATGGCAGTGAGTTGGTTTTTTGGTTTTTTTGCACAGCAAAGACCTGGTGATCTGCTCCGGTAAAGATTACAGCCGAGAAAAGTCTATGGGGGCAGTTCTATTCTGTCACATGGGGTCTGCAGGAGTTGAAATAGCTCATTTATTTATCTCCCAGTCAATGCCAGTGCCTGCATGCCAACTTTGTGAATTCATTCTGGTGTTTGGAAGGAGTGGAGAGAAAGAAAAACAAGTGATGTCTTCAAAAAAAAAAGGAAGAAGAAGAAGAAGCAGAAGCAGCCCAGAACCTTTCCAACGTCCTGACATATTCATTTTGAGACATTGCTGGGTATCAGGGATGTTCTGTGATAAGGGGGCTCACATCTTGGTGCTGGAGACCACCCTGTCCACTTGGTTGACAGCCAGGGGCTGGGTGCGAGAGCCAAAGACTACAAGACTGCTGAGGGAGCGCCTCTCAAGCTCACTCCTGCTGGAGCTGGGAAACCGCAAGCCAACGCCAGTGCTGCATGGCTTGCAATGCCCTGCCCTTATCCCAGGATGCCCTCAGAAATTCCTGGTCTTCTCTGTTGCTGTGGATTTGCAAACAAGAAGCCAAGCAGGAAGAATAATATTGGTTTTGCCAATATTTCTCTCCCATTTCATATAATTTAAAATAAATATTTTAACGAAGGGTGGGAAACAACCCGAGTTTTGCTAGCTGGCTGGATGAGCGCTGTAAGGAGTCACAGCCACAGCTGCTATTTATTGAGCACCTAGTACGTGAGTGGTGTGTGGCTACATTAGCCCTTCAGGCATCCACAAAGAGAAGAGCAAGGAGATGAGTGGGTAGGCTGAGGAGTCTAACTGTGTGCTTCTTATCCAGGTTCTAGAATTTACCAGCCATGTGACTGTGGTGAGTTATCTAACCTCTGAAAGGCTCTGATTATTTATCTGGAAAATAATAATGATAAGTATGCCTACCGTAGGAGAAAGAACTGGTGATCTGCTCCCATAAAGATTGAAGTCCCATTGCCACTGAGTCTATTCTGACTCATAGCAACCCCATAGGACAGGGTAGAATTGCCCCTCTAAGGTTTCCAAGGCTATAAATCTTTATGCAAGCAGACTGTCCCATCTTTCTCCTGCTGAGTGACTGCCAAGAACTTAACCACCACACCATCAGGGCCCCTTTTCCCATAAAGATTACAGCCTAGAAAACCCAGCGAGGCAGCTATACTCTGTTATGTGGGGGTGCTATGAGTCGAAATCAACTCCATGACACCTGGCAATAATGACATTGTGCCTACATTGATATGGCTGTTGTTGTTGTTGTTGTTTGTTATGTGCCGTCAAGTCGGACCCAACTCATAGCGACCCCTCCTTGGGTTTCCGAAACAGTATCACTATGGAAGTAGATTGCCCCATCTTCCTTCCGAGGAGTGGCTGGTGGGTTTGAACCGCCAGCCTTCTGATACGGCTGTTACACGGGTTAAATAAAAATACTGGAGGAAGTGCAGCCGGAATGCTCCTTGGAAGCAAGAATGGCCAGACTTCGTTTCACCTACTTTGGTCATGTTGTCAGAAGGGACG